CTGCATTGGGCCTTCTTACAGAACCCGTCTCCACAAGTCGCCGGTGCACGCGCGATAAAATCGAATGACATGGAAGTATTAGTTGGGAAAATCGGCCAGCGTATAGTCTACGCGCGAGACGTGAATTTCCATGGGCCTCTCCGAAAATCAGGTGCATTTGGACTTTTTCACGCACGGAAAATCTCACCATTTTTTTCGATAGAAACAGAAAAGATGATAATCTGACAACTGACAAATGATAACTGTCAAAAAATTAATTTATTTGTCACTTGCGAACGGCAGCCACCTACGATTAACACGTAAGAATTTCATACGAATGTCGATATGCATTCAATCACATTTTGCCATTTTTCCCAAAAACATTTCGTTTTACAAAAAAAAATCAAAAGACAAAAGTTTCTAAATTGAATGTCCTTCCTTACGGGTTCATATTAAAAAAAATAAAAAATACGCAACCAAAGTTTTGTGGCTCCAAAGACAAGGGGGCCTACTAAAAAGCGTCTTAAGGGGGTCCCCAGCCAAAAACCTTAACACTATCAGATTCCACATATCAAAAAACTCCTGTATACCAAATTTAGTGATTCTCGTACAACAGGGTTCTGAGATATAAGAAAAAGACTATTCTTATGGACTACTTTCAGGGGGCTGTATCTCCGAAAAAGGGGGCCCATTGGCAAAACTAAAAAATAGCTGTCCCCTAAATTTCTCTCAAGAATCTGTGACCAAATTTTGTTGCATTAATTTCCGGACAATATAATATATGATAATTTAATTTTTTTCTTTTTAAATGTGTATGATATAACTAATTAACAATTTCCAATAAAAAACAACATGATTGTTATTATTTAAACGATTAAATAGGTAACAGTGAAAATAATATTTTCTAAAGAAAATAGCTTCTTAAAGCGAAAAACGTAGAATGTGTTATTTTTTTTAAATTTTTAATTTTGTTAAACTCAATGGTTTGGGAGTTTTGAGACAAAAACTCGCTCAGGAAAAAAAATCTTAAATTGCGATGATAGACCTCTTAATATTAATATTATGGACTTAAACTTTCACCATAATTTTTTTGTCACCCCAAACAATATTTTCTATATACGATACGATACGATACAAAAAAAATAGTCGATTTTTTTGGCCCAGTCCTTCGGAGGGGACTTTAAGCCGTCGGTCCGTTCCTACCCCTAACCCGCACAAGCCATTCAGTTGGCTTATGGGACATCTTAGTTTGGATGTAAGGGTGGAACTAAAAGAGCACTTTATAACTTTATAACATTTTTACCTAAACCAAACTAAAACAACATTTCTGGAAGAATACTGAAAAAAATTAAAAAAAGATTTTGAACGGATAACAGCACTTTGAGATGCAACCTCAAATATGAAAAAAATCTGCGTTCTCCCATCTATGAGTGAATTTATCGAAAAGCTCACGTGATGAAGCACATAGTCTGTTTTGTGTGTGTAATTTAACTAGTTTTTTCAAAAATGTTTCTTTCTTTTTTTACCTGCACTGTTAAAAATTTATATATACTTTACAATAAAATATAGGAAGTTTTGTGCCTAATTGTATAAGTACTATTACTATAGTATATTGTATTTTTCCTAAACTTTTTACAAGTTTATCTTGTATATTTACATCAAAAATATTAAGAATACAATTATATTTTGAATATCCTGATTCAGTATAGTAGTTCTCATTCTCGAAACTAAGATTTGTAATTTTAGTAAGTATACTAAGTATAATAAACCTTTAGTAAATTTACCGTTATTTTTAAAAGTGTATGGGAGAGAGTCTAAATTTCATGGGAGTATCTATCTAAACTCCTACTCCTGAAAGATAGAGAACAAATTTATAAGTAAATAAATATTTTTTCTATATAATAATGTGATTTTTTACACAAATAAAACAAGTGACAAATTATGAAAAAATTAAGGCATTGAAAATGGCTTGCTCTATAGCAAGATTATATTGAATATATAAAGTTCATTATTAATAGTAATAGTAATAAAGTTTGGACCCAAACTGCTAAAGTTCCATACACTAAATTAAACAATATACAACCCGTATCCTTTCAGAATATTAAAGACCTCATTGAATATCGTTTTCCTAAAGACATAATATAAACGTTTTATGAATTTATGCGATTACATTTAGCTTTAGTTTAAACTCTCTTTCCCTTCTCCTCTCTTACCTGGACCTTCAAGGTGTGCCGTCGATTGTACGAGCGCGTTCAACGGGGCAAAATCTTTGATCAGTATGCGAGGCAGCTGCACAGGAAATAAACAATCCGTACCGACGTCTTCTTCCTGCATGCAGCGAAACGCGCGACTCGGCTCATTTGAAACGTACACGGGACTCGTACCTTTAAAGATGGAAGACGAATTTATGTAAATTTTTATGTCTGAATACGTAAGTAGGTAGTCGCTGGCTGTGTCGAAATTGTCTTATTATACGACTGGATCATTTTTCGTATCATATTTCTTAGAAAGGGTTTTGAATCTTAAGTTTAAGATTACAAAATTGATTTATTAAAAGATCGTTGTTAAACATGATTTCATTAACATTTTTAGGGGAAGGTGGGGGAATTCTGCCCATCTAAGCAAAATCTCTAGTATCTTTGTTAAGTTTAAATGTGAAATTTTGCAATTAATACCAGCGATAGTCTACTATGTTTACTATGTGTATAATGCGCAATTTATAAAAAAAAAATGTTTGGTATGCAAAAACTACATTTTTTTAAATAATGCATTTGCCCAAAATTACCCACCTATCAGGGTAATTTTGCGCATCATAGTGGGAAAATTTGCGCTGTATAGAGAAAGATTTGTAGGTATCTAAATAAACCGTTTATTTCTATAATATTATTATATTAAAACATAAAAATAAAACAAAACTATTTTCTTTATGAAACAAACAAAACAAACAAAATCAAAAATAAATAACTAAAAATAAAATTTTTGTTCTTAGAAATAAGAGGGTCTACATGCTACATTTGTCACATATGTAGTTTTAGGGGTTTTTTTCGCTACACTCCGCGTGTGCCCAAATGGAACTGTTTATGCTGAACAATCTAGGCTCCTGTATACCATTTTTGCAACGCAAAATTACCCCAATTTTTCAGAGTAAAATTACCCCCTTTGCAAGAAAAATATTGTGATACTAAAAAACTTTCCAAAAGTTAACCTGAACAATTTAAACATACACCAGATTACGAGGAAAGATCATATAAAGTTGTGTTATAAACATTTAAGCGATTGGACAGAAATTTAAACTTAACTCGTAGCGGAAACGACATGGATTTCTTAGATCAACGTACATGTATCACAGTTAGATAGTGACCATGGTCACTAGCTAAAAGCTACAAGCTTAATTGCGGTACACTTTAGTCCCCGTATACCCAAAGCAACGTTTCCAAGTTTGCAACATTCAAAAAATGTATTATTTACTTCATATCTGGAAGAATTGTTTATGCGTAAAATTACCCAGCGCGCAAAATTCCCCCACCTTCCCCTATATGATTTTTTGTTCTTTAAATATAAGTTTGTCTTACATTTTTCGCACTGATCCTAGAAAATTCAAAATTTCAATGAATTCCCAACCTGAAATTAAAAAACAACATACTGGTAATTCCAAATTTGCAAGCATGTATCGTTTTATAAAGTTGTTGCAAACTATAATATTTCACCTCCTGTGGGATATTTCTTGATATTTGCGACTTTACCTTCTATATAAACTGACCCATTTTTAGAGATGCAACTTTAATAAAAACGGTCAGTTTTTTTTAATTTTTTTGTCCGGTTTTTTTTTTCAAATGGTTTTTTTCATATTTTAGGTTTTTTTTTTCAAGATCCCATTTGCCTAATTTTTTATTTTCCAGTCCAGTTCATGGACTAAAATTAGCCACTAAATGACATTTAGTAAATGTAAATACAGTGTCGCGCTATGCCCGCGCCACCACCACCGAATTGACCAATAAGGGCCGCGCAATATTTTTGATTCAGCGCTTGATTTTTCAAAAAGCTACCAAAAGCACTTTTTTCATGATTTTTCAAATTCATGTAGTGTGGAATTTTTTTTTTCAAAAAAACAATAGCAAATTCTTGTAGAACATTTATTCATTGGTGGTCAGAACATTCCGTGGACCAAAATGAAAGCGAAAAAAATTTCGAATTTTTTTATTACGGTATTTGTTAGGATTGAGCGTTGCACGTTTTTCATCTAAAAATCTCAAAACTAGAAACTTCAAGCTTCAAATTGCTTTTTTACGGCTCCAATACGACCATTTTTAACAAAGATAAAGCTATCCGAAAAATCGCAAAAAATTTTGAATTTTTTTATCTTTTAATTTTTTCTATTAGTGTAGAAGTTTAACATTCCTATTGGTTTCTTATGTGGAAACTACCAAATAATAAGAAATCAGATTTTTTAGTCTCGGTCAAAATTTTCAATAATGAAAAATGTAATATATTCTACGTTTCACTTTATTATTATTATATATTTTACTCAAAATTTCATTTTGAAAAATTACTCAATTTTTTAAGATTAATCTTTTTTTTCACATCTAAAAAAACCGTTTTTTTACTACCCATTTTCCGTGTCTACAATATACAAAATTAAGAATAAAGTAATTATTTTTAAATCAGGTTACTATTATCCTGCACAAAGGATGAAAAAAGTTCTTAAACGCGCGGGAAATGGGTTAGGTAAGAAATTGAAAAATTAAGAAGGGAATTGGATTTTAAGTGGTAAATTTTTTATTCATTTACGTTTCTTTGCGGAAACTATCAAGCTTTAGAAAAGCGCCTTAGTAGATTTGGGTACCAACGAATCGTTTTAAATCAGCATGAAATTAACCGTTTAAACTGTTAATTTTATGTTAAACTTAAAAGAATAATTGAAGTTAAAACATGTTCGTTTGAAATTGTAAAAATAAAACATACATTTTATCATAATTTTTTGTGTACCTACATATAATTAACAATGTTTATTTTATTTTCAGAGTTTGGGCATCTTAGGCTCGATACCAGCAGCATGGTTAATACTTACCCTTCTAGTCTTATTAATTTATCTATTAACAAGATGCTGCGATCGGAAACCTCGCGCATCCAAATCCATATCAGCACTGAAAGTAACGCTGGCCATATTTTCGGTTTTATGTTGCGCAGCAGTAGGCTTAGGCCTCTATGGAAACGATGACTTGCACAACGGGGCCATGCAGTTGATGCAACAAGGAAAGCAAGTGGATCAGCTGGTTGGGAAGATAAGGAATCACACTGAAGCCATCGAGAGGACTTTGAGAATTCAGGCTGGAAGTCAGCTAACCAACTTGAGGAATATATTTGAAGAGCCAGTTAAGAATATATCGTTGTATAAACAGGCCGACGTTTATTTGCTGAATTTGATGGGTAATAATAGTATGGCTGCGAATGCAGCGAGCGATATAAGAAGCCCATTGATGGGGTTAGATTTGTCGCCCAAGATAGAAATGGGTATGAAACTGGAAGGAATCAGATGGAACTTTACTATGAGCATACTGAGTGTACTGCTAATTTTATGTGTAATTCTACTTGTTGGAGTCGCAAAGCACAATAGATGCGCTCTTATACTATTCTCCGTATGTGGATTACTCGCCGTTATAGCCTCATATCTGCTAGCATCTATCTACATAGCCTCATCGGTAGCCTTGGCAGATTTATGTATGGCACCGGATAAGTTTATCGAAGACCAAGCTTCAACCGAGTTATCCAAAGAAATTCTTCGCTACTATACAAACTGCGAAAGAGCTCGAGCTAACCCCTTTACCCTTCGTTTACGCGAAGCTAAAACCACCATAGATAACATGCGATCCAATTTAAACTCCCTTAGAGTCCCAGCCATGTATCTCTTCCCTAGAAAATCACTGGATACCAAATTCTCCTCGATCAAAAACGAAATAAACTCCGCCGATTCTACGATTAACTCTCTTACTGCTCTTGTGGATTGTAGGGCCTTGCATACCCATTATTTAAGAGGTGCCAGGGCTATTTGTAATGTTGGGTTGATGGGGTTGACTTTTATGTTGGTTTCTGCTGTTTTGGCTGGACTTTTATTGACTGCGCTAGTGTGGGTTGATTCTCATACTTGGATTTATATTAGAAAGAAGTAAGTAAATACCTATATATTTTAAGTGTAGTTTAGAAAAAATATAAAAAATACCTTCCATTTTTGAACAACAAATTTTTATTAATAATTAATTAATAATATTTTGTAATCCAATGCATTAAATTTAATATTAAAATCAGAGGAAATTGAGTTGTTTGTTATTAATATTTTAACAAATATCGGATTTCGTTTAATAATATTAAAATATATATATTGATTCATGGACAATCATTGATTGTTTATTAATACGTATTAGTGTACACTCTGCATGTATGTTATTAAAAAAAACCTGTTATTAAGGGGCACAACTTTTTGTAAAAAACTGAGTGAGTTACCCACTGTATGGAGTAATGCATTAATGCCTCATTTTAAACGTCTTTCAAATCCCTAAAATTTGGCGTTTAAGTTTTTAAAGTTTGTTGGTTCGTTCTCAAGATATTTAAGAAAACTGTTTTTTTTTTAATTATAGGAGTTATACTTTTAAAGACCAAATACCACTAAAAAAAAATGTTTAATTTGTTTGTGTTTCCAATGTTATTAAAAATTGCACGAAATTGTAATATTTTATTGTACAAAAATTGCTTTAATAAATTCTTAGATATTTTTTTAAAAATTATCTTAATTAATTAATTTACAGTTTACAAAAGTAAACATAAAACAAAGTTTATTTTTCAGTTTTGTTTGTCAATATTGTTTTTTAATACCTACATCCGAATTTATCTATCTATGAATACGTGGATATTTAATTTATTGAGAGTGGTTATGGTACTATTTTGTGACACTGTTAAGTAAATTAATAAAAATGGTTTAAAGTTTGGCTAAAAGAGTTGAAATTGTGTTAATTTATGGAACCTGAAATCAATGTGCTTGACGAACTGCAGCAACATTTAACGAACAACATTCTGATGAATTCACGTTCAATAGGTGTGTCCTAAATCTTATTGACAAATTTAATCAGACTGAATCTGTTGGAAATATAAAGCATAATCAGCCCCGTGTTTTAAATGAAGTAGCTTAAATAGAAGTTTTGGATCATTTCGATATAAGTAAATCTTACTTCATTGCATCATATTTCTAGTGCAACTGAAATTTACTTGCGTTATGTGAATAAAATTACAAAATTAAATTAATTTCATCCTTATAAAATGCAAATTTGCCAAGAGTTAAATAAGACGGCTTTAACAGAAGAGTCCAGTCTTGTAAACAAATGACTAATATAATAAATAATAAGGTTGCATTTTAAAAACATATCGGCGTAAGTGATGAATGTACTTTTATTTACATGGTTTTGTAAATAAACATACAGATATTGAACTAATGGATATCCTCATCAGATTATAAAAGAACATACCCAGTATCCAGAAAAAGTTTGTATGGCTGGCATTTTGGGGGACCAAGTAATTGGTCCGTTTATTAATGTAAATCTAAATTTAGAAGTATAGTTAAAAAACACTATTATTCTGTTGTTTACTGAATATGTTAAAAATCAACTTTGGTGTTGGGGAATATTTCTAATTATTGTTATTCATTTTTAGTTTGACCAGCGCTTTATGCGGTTATTCTTTTAAATTTAAGATAACGACTTTAATGCTTTTAATTAAATGAAATGTTCCAAGAAATTCGTAGCTAAAATATTTTTCGGTGGAGGGTATTAAATAAAAAAAATTGTTAAAAAGTAAAATAATTTTGACTAAATTATTCCACATACACATTGTTAAAATACCTAGATTTTTTTATTTAACTTAGGTATTTAATCAAAGAAAACAAATATTTTTAATTTTATGTTTGGATTAAATTATAAAAAAGGATTTTCTTGGGGAATGTATTTTCTAAAAAAGTCTGAATTAAGTCTGACTTTTTGGACAGAAAATTCATTTTTTCACGTATCTCGAGTGGCTTAGTTTGAATCTTACTGTAGAATTTCTCTAGAGTACCTTGGAATTCCACTAGCCTAGGGGAAAAAGTAAAAGCTTATATATTTTCGTATTTTGAGTTCCTGAGTTTATATCTGACGTGAAAAATGTTCCACAGTACTTCAGAATTTCACTAGCCTAGGGAAAAACGTAGAAAATTGTGCAAAAATCGAAGTTTCATACAGGTCTTTTTCGTATTGGAAAGCTGATATCTTTCCATTTTCTGAGTTGCCGTGTTCATTTCTGTCATCAGAAATTTTATCCAGCTACTCACAATTACCCAAGCCTACGAAAAATTCTATAATATTAGTTCGTTCGTCTTTTCCTCGTCAAACTTCAGACGGAGTGGATTCCTCTTTCTTTTTTTGCTTTTACCTGCAACATCTCTCTTCAACAACCAGCAAAAATCTGCTATCATGTCTTCGTTTTTGATATCTTGATGGAAACGTTCTCCTTGTTCCTCACTGTAATCACCAAGATTTTCAGGGAAGTGTTCTTGAAATTATTTCAACATGTTTTTCACTATTTTATTATAGTTGTGTTACCTAATACATTTTCCCTTATCTTTGCACGTTTTCGGTAGGTTAGGGCAATTGTGGTAACTCAGAAGACGAAAAGATATCAGCTTTCAAGTACGAAAAAGGCCTGCATAAAACTTCGATTTTTGCACAATTTTCTACGTTTTTCCCTAGGCTAGGAAAATTCTGAAGTACTGTGGAACATGTTTCATGTCATAAATAAATTCGGAACCACAAAATACGAAAATATATAAGCTTTCTTGCGCAAAAATAGAACCTTTCAGACATCGCAAGTTTTGCTCAGCTTAATAACACTTTTCCCCCTAGGGTAGTGGAAACCTGAGATTCTACAATGAGATTCGAACTAATTGACTTGAGATTCGTGAAAAAATTATTGTTTTATTTAATATTGCGTAGATCAAAATTGCTTTACTGATACTAAAGATTTCACGCAGTTCCCCTAGGCTAGGGGAAAACTGGGGGGTCCAGGGGAAATTCTGAGACCGGATTCGGATTCACTGGCTCAAAATCCATAGGGTTAGTATACTCACATGTAAAGTTCATTCCACTTTTTTTTGTGGGCCTGGGTTATATTTTTAACTTTTGAGGTACAGATGGGTATACATGAGGAGGTTCATTCTAAAACTCGGCTTATCCACTTTTTAATAAAAATGAGTTAGTGGTGTCTGTACATTTAACATGGATCCCCCTATACCCTGAAATGGTCATAATATTCTAAAACTAACCTTATTCCATTTAAAATTCATTTACAAATTGATTATCGTTCCAAAACTTGCCTTATCTATTGGTTATATCATGAAGAACTCAACATATACGTATGTAATTTTAAATTATTTTAAACTAGAGCTATACCTTTTTAATCAAGGTAGGTATATAAATGTTTTACTTATGCCTTTATATTTCGTTTAAAGTATTGTGTTTGCCTGATATGCGTTAGTACTCATTTGACATTTTGCTCGAAAACAACTAATATGGATAAGCCGAGATTTGGAATGCATCTCCTCACAAGACTTATTTTAAAAATGTAAGGTATTTTTCAATTGTAAAAAACTAAAATCACTCTCTCTTTAACACACACAGCAACAAAAAACCTAAACTAACACCCGTTTATTTTCTTTGAATCTTCAGGAAGGACTACCAGCAAGTGAATGAGACGGACCCGTACCTGCCGCCGCCGGCCGCCTCTCAAGCCATCGCCGCCCGCACATTGCAACGCAGCCAAGGGTCGTCTTCTTATCCTCCCGACACCCCCCCGCCTAGCTACACCTCGGCCCTGATGCACAACGGGGCCGGCGCTGCACGATCCGCATCCCCGCAGAATGCCGCCGCCACTGCCCCGCCCGCGCCGCATGAAGCTCACGCACTGCTACTGTACTAGACAGTTTTTTAGTTTGTTTTTTTGCTACATTTTTTTACCTTGTTTAACACTTCGTCGGGCGCATATGATGGGTCTATTAATTTGCAAGATATCCGTATCCTCGTATAAGTTTCTTTTTGGATGTATCTTCAAACTATTAATTTAATTAATTTTGTAATGGACTAATGTTTAGAACACTTTAATTCAAATAGAACTATGCCAAAATACACTGCGCGTCAAAATTAACGCATAACAAGTAAAAAAAATCCAACGCTAAAACGCCTTTACCAATCTTTATAAAATTTTGGATAAAAATACTTCAACTTATATCTCAGTTTACGTGTTTAAGGGTTTTTAGAAAAAATATCCTTTTTATTTAATAATAAAAAACGCTCGAAAAAAAACATTTATAGGGAATTTTTTTAAGTAAATAAATAATAAGCTGTTAAAGGCCGTATTTTTTTTGGCGTACCCTGAAAATTTTGTACAAATCAAACGAACAGTTACAAAAATACAGCGCTTCAGTCGTCAAAAATGACCAGTTTTCAGCAAAATAATCAAAAAGGGGTCATTTTTACCGACTTTACGCTATATCTTCGTTACTGTTCGTTTGATTTGTACAACATTTTCAGGGTATACTAAAAAAATACTGCCTTTAACAGCATATTTTTTATTTACTTAAAAAAAAATCTCTAACAGTTATTTTTCGAATGTTTTTTTATTATTAAATAAAAGGGCTTTAAAAATATATTCTCGAAAAAACATAAAAAACGTAAACTGAGAAATAAGTTGAAATATTTTTATAAAAAAATTCATAAAGATTGGTAAAGGCGTTTTAGAGTTAGAATTTTTTTACTTATTATGCGTTAATTTTGACGCGCAGTGTATTTTCAAAATACACTGCGCGCCAAAAATACTATTTTGTTTGATATTTTCTTTGTTTTTTTTAATATAACTTAGGATTTTATTCTTATTTTTTAATATACTAATGGATGTTTTATGTCCCAAGTAGTTTTTTTACACTGTGCCTGTCAAAGAGTTAAAATGTTTTATTTTTAAATAATCGAACATTGAATTTGTTGTTATAATAAACGCTTTGCTTTTAAAGTAAGGCTTTTTCATATTGTGCCCGATGGAGGAGGTTTAAATTGTTTTGGTCCCTAAATTGATAACAACATTTATCTTATGTATTATATTTTTTCCATTATAGAAAAAATACATACATATGTATTGCTTCCTATTCTCCAGATTTGGTTTTATTTCACTAACCAACTGATCAAAAGTTACCATTGGCACATTCTCGCAAAAATTATTAGTTTTAGAGCTAGAAGACTTAAAGTTGTAATGTCAGGGTTGGATAAAAACGGGTTTTTATATAAAACCCTACCCACTGGGCTTTTTTTTGGTTTTATAAGTAGGTTTAATTGTTTTTTTAACTCTATACAGATTTTAGTAAAAAAAAACATTTAAAAATAAATACTGTTGATAAGAAAAATTCAAGTATTTTTACAGTAAAAATCTGTATAAAAATGTAAATAATTTATTGTTGTGATTTCATGTTGCCTTTTTATTTTATAAAAAAGTGAAAAAATAGTATACTTTATGGCGCCGTATGAAAAGCGTTTAAAAAACTTTTATAATGGTACTGCTAAGTTTTTTAAAGACCTGCGAAAGTGTTTATAAAATTGTTTTGTAATGTTTGCAACAGGCTTTAAAAAATATGAACAAAGACTTTATAAAACGGTGCCAATATTGCATTTATAGCGACGTATAAATACATTAAAAACATTTCTGAGAATAACGAATTGTATTTTAACCCAAAAAACTGAAATCCTGTTAAAACCAAAAATCGTTATACCTTTGTTATTCCTTGTAAAAAAGTAAGTTTCCCATGTAAAAATACAGATTTATCTAAATTTTTATCCAATTTGTGATTTTTTTCGCTAACTAGATTATAGATAGATATAAAAAAACTCATGTCATAAGACATTTTTTCGCACACTCGTACTCAAATTGTCCTCGTGAGTCTTATGACATTAGTTCTTTAATATACTATTTTTAAATATGTTTTGGAACCTGCAGCAAACAATTTAGTATTAGACGCTATAAAAATACAATTAGTTAATGTATTACTTAGTAATACTTAGTAAGACATTTTAATAATTTTACTTCTAAACCTTATGTCATTTTAAGACATTGTTTGTGATATCAAGAACAAAGTTTTTACTGCAAATGAAATTTTATCGTAAAATATATTGCAGATTTTTAACAAAACTAATCCCCATATTTAATAATGTTTTAGAAAAAATCGTTTAAAACATACAAAAAATAGCCTTATCGATTTTACTTTGGTCTTTTTGATGTTTTAAAATTCTGTCATTTTAAAATGGCGTATTCCTATAAAATAATTTTGCATCATTAGCAAGCATTTAAATATAATTATGCTAATACGCATTTTTTATAAAACAATAAAAAATATTATAATTTAAAACTGATGGTATTGCGACAGGGCCGGACTTTTACTATTATTTTTTGTCTTGGGAAGTGTGATAAAGATAAAACAAAAATCACTTATTAAAAATATATAAACTAAAGTATACGTAAATACTATCCCATAGATATTTTAAAAGTGCATAGTTTTTTTAACGGTTTAATTACCAAGTTTTAATCAATCTACTCTTTACTACTCATACGATTTATTATATAGTTACCTAAGTAGTTATTTTATCATTTATTTATAAATGCAAAAGGGGATAAACTTGTCAGTCCACATATTCCACACCCAAAACTCCAAAAATATCGTGATGCGATTCACATCCGTGAGGGTTTTTCAAAACGTCACGTGACAATGTAAACCAAATAAAATTGTTTGAATACTTATAATATGACCCTTCAGGGGCTCTTTACTTCGTCAAATTACAGCCCCTAAACAATATACCGTAAAATGATTTTTTAATCAAAAATAAATATCTATGTAGCTAAAATATACATATAAGTTATATGATATAAAATTCATTGTAGAGGTTTAAAAAAAATACGGCCCTTCTCAATTTTCTAACTAAGGAGGAAATATCTGGTTGTTGTTTTCAAGATTTTGGTGTCTTTATTGCTACTTGGCAACTTTTTTGCTAGTAGACAACTTTTTGGTATTCCTATACTTGGTGCATTTTGTGTTTACAGAATATCCTTCTATGTGCACATGTATTATACTTCTATGAGAATTTTTTATAATTTAAACGACCTTGTAGCTATTTAAATAAAAAATGACCCATATAAGTATACATAAGCACATAGAAGGATGCACCCTGTTACAACTTTAAAGTCTTCTAGCTCTGAAACAGACCATTTTTCAAAAATGGCAACTTTTGATCAGTGTGTCATGTTATACAATATATGTACAATGTACATTGTACATAAAACCTAGCAAAATCCACAAAGGATTAGTGCCTGACTTTTCTTAAAAAAAAGCATATATAATGAAATAAATTAATAAAATTACTTTAAATTCATTTAAATAAAATAGTTTAAAATATAATTGTATAAAATTTAGCAATGCTATTCACATTTTAAAAAAATGGGGCTAAAACTCAATTTTTCCATCATCATATCAAACTTTATTAGATGCATATCAAAAATTAACTTTTTTAACATTAAAGCATGCACTTTTACAGGCATGCCAAATAATCCATGGCTAGACAGCTTTAGAAAACTAAATTTAGTTCGTTTTTTTTACTTAACACGTCTGTACACACATTATTTTTTTAATTAACTTTTGCATTATTTTTCTTTACTTTTTTCATTCATTTAAATTTTTATTACTGTTTTATTATGAGCATTTCTGTGCATTTTGATGTCTTAATAAGTGTATGTTTTAGTTATTTTGTTGTCCCAGCTTCATTTCCCTAATACACAAATATCAACCTTTAAATTTATCTGGTATTAAAAATAGGGAATTTACTCTCTGTATAAATATTTTAACTAGTTTTTTTAACTTCTTTAAATTCTGTGAAAAAATATTGTGATGTTCTTACAAAAGTGTAATGTGTATGTTTCTTAAGAATTAACTACTATTACATTAAAGTTTCATTCACAAAAAAACACTTTGCAACAAAAAAAAATGATTATGATTAAAAATGTAATTGCCTAAAAAGTAAAAGCTAACATGAACAAATTGTGAAACACGTTTTAATTTTTTGTTATACTCTATTCATTTTTTTGGTGGTATTAACAAATTAAAATCATATAAAATACAGAGGTTTTCCCCTATTTTTTGATACCGCTCTTGTTGCAACTTGATGTTCTTTTATAGAGATGGGTGCGACATGCGTCCCAGCGAGCACCACAGGGGGGCCGCGCACATGTCCCACCTCAGAGGACACACTCTTGGTCGTCTCCCATCTCACCACCACGAGTCGGCGTACGGTGGACCCAATAATGGAAAGTACGCGACTTTGAGCAAACAGTGCAAAACATTGGAAAGCTCTGATTTCTACTGAGACAGGTATACAAATTATTTTATATTTTGTTTGAGCGCATTTTTTTATATTAATGGTTATACCAAAAACGTAAAACTCAATATTATTTAGTAAAATTGTATTTAGAAGTAGTTCTACTTAAATTAAGAAAAATTTAAAGAGAAAATCGAGTCTTTAAAAGCTGATAAAAAATTATGCAATTGCTTTAATCCCATATTTATCTTCAGGGTATTTAAGAATATGTGAGCAATCTTACGGATCTACAAATACATTAGGGTGATTCTACAAAAGTTGGGCAACTTTTGACCTCATTTTGTTTATATAGTTTTCGGAGAAAATTAAACAGTATTTTGTTATGAGAACATAGATAATATAATAAATATACTGTTCGAGACCGGGCCAGTCACTTTTTCAAACAGTTTCTGAAATATCTGTGTTTTCTAAATTTGAATGCAAGGGAAGTGACGAGTATACCAGGGTACTAATTAAATAAATAATTTAATGGAAAGATTTATTGCAACTTTGAGCAATTATACATTAAATATCTTAAAATCAAATAATACCACACATCAGTGGCGGCTGGTGGATTTTGGGTATACCGATATCTCAATTATTAAATATGGGACCCACACCAAATTTATATGAGTTTATTAAATAAAAAAGTTCTGCGCAAGCAGAATTTAAATTGAAGTTTGCTGAAAAAAGATAACCGAAACATCGAACATGGAACTGACGACACAGTACTGATGAATGGGATACAAATTTGAGATTATAATTCAGAATTAAGTATTTTTTCTGATATTTTTTATTAGTGGATGCTACTTATCAACAAATCACATATAGCCTTATATAAATTACAATAAAATAATATACGTAAGAAAATAACTACTCACCACAGTACTGATATTTTGACTGGAACTATACGTGCATTTACCACAACTTCGCCGCTTGCATTGTTTTCAAGATGACTGTCGTGCAAAGGGCGGGCTCTGTAGGTAATTTTTTACCAACACTTGAGTTAAAACGAGGACTTGACGTTTAAACTTTAATATTTCGCAGGAATTTTGAATTTTAATATTGGACACAGAACTGACGGGTAAAAGTGAGTACAAAGTTTATAAATTTTTTAAAAATTTCTATTTTTTGAATCTATGATAAAATATGAAAAATACATTATTTAATGTTTTAGTTAGTAGTGAAATTAAAAAATTTAAGATAAATTGAATATATTTTAAAATAAAATCACTCAAATATTTGATTCAGGAGTTGTGACACGCCAAGGTACTGATGTTTTGAATATTTATTATGTTTTTCTACAAACGTGCTTTTGAAAAAAATACTTTAAAATTGGTTTGAAAAGTTAAAAAAACCTGGATCTTTTGTAATACCTATAGGTACTAAAATATTTACAAAAAATATTAAAATACCTACTCTATTGACTAATGACATCAAGTTGTCCAACTTTTGTAGAATCACCCATTAATTTCTTTTCCCAAAAGGGTTTTCCTAAAAAAAGGTTCCTTCCTTGTGTGTTCAGTCAAATAAAATTGCATAATCTGAAATAAAATATGTAGTTAAACTCCTAAAATTGACCGAATTACAGAGAGATAGATAGTGTGTATCAATTATTGTATTATACAATTGTATGGAACGGCATTTTACTTTTTCTTAAACACGGCATTTTTTAAAATGATATAATATCATAACCAAAATTTTTCTTAAAAAACAACAAAAAAAACTTCTACAAAATTGTCATTTTTGGCCATATTTCGTTTGTTTTAGACAAAAATATACCGTGTTATATATCAAACAAAAGGATTTTTAATTTTCTTTTAAATGACAGCTAAAATAGTAAACAATCTAAAGAATGTTTTGCTGTATTTTGCAAACTCCATATTTTGTTATGAGATTTTTAAGTATTAAGATAAACATTACAATTGAATCGGTGAGAATAAGAACAGTACAAGTCCAAAAATTAAATTTCTGAAATCAATTTTAAAGTTTAAAATACATTTTTGTGAGAAGATATAAATTATTTTACAGAATATGAATATTTTATTTCATAAAATAGTTAAAATATTCTAACAAAAATGTATTTAGAACTATATAGTTCTAAATACATTTTTATATAAAACTGATTTTTTGAAATATTTTATCAAAAATTTTACTTTTGGACTTCTTAATCTTACCGATTCAATTACTGTTAGTTATTAACTAAACGGTTAACATATTTTTTCTTAAAATATAAATATAATATCATTTGATTTTGGCCTAGTTTTTTAGCCAAATCTATCGACGAATTTTTTTAAATAAAATTAAAACTGTGGTGACATTTATACTTGTATATATACGAGGTGTGTTCAGAAAATAACGGGAATTGTTAAATTTTACTGGTTCAGAGGATCCGGTTGTTATAAAATTTTCTTTATTATGTTGGTATACATGCCCCCGAAGTATGATAAAAACTTTTGCTGTTTTCATTGTTTACTTTGTCTGTGGCAGCCGCTAAGCTTAGACGTGTTTTATGAACTCGGCGATTTTTCGTTCGTTAAAAGAAATGGATCAAAGAATTTGTATCCAATTTTGCTTAAAAAATGAAATAAATTCTGTGAAATGTTAACAAAGGCCTATAGTGAGTATGCTATAAGTAAAACAAAAGTTAACAAGTGGTATAAGAGTTTCCAAGATGGCCGTGAAGACGTTGAAGATGACGAACGCCCAAGCACATTAACAACCGATAAAAACATGAAAAAAGTGGAAGAAATGGTTATAAACCATCAGAGAAGTCGCTGATGATGTTGGTATATCGATTGGCTCATCCCATGAAATTTTTCGAATGTTTTGGGTATGAAACGCGTTGTTAAATTTTGAACAAAATTTTTGGCCAAAAACAATACTGTAATGATGCCTTAGCCTCCATATTCGCCAGACATGCCCCTGACTTTTTCCTATTCCCAAAAATAAAGAGAACCTTAAAGGGCCGTTGTTTTGCAAGCATAGATGACATTAAAAGCGCATCGCTGAAAGAACTACAGGCTATTATAGCCAATACCAATAATACCAAAGATCGAGTTTTAGAAGTGTTTCGAGTATTGGAAGAAGAGCTTGCACATGTGCATAATATCCAATGGGGACTATTTTGAAGGCGACAACATTAATGTAGACGAATAAATAAATATTTGTTTCAAAAAACGAAAATTCCCGTTATTTTCTGAAAACACCTCGTATGTACCTCAGATATATACAAAAGTAGTAATTTTACCTATCTTTTAATTTTATAAATTAAAAATTATATAAAAAACTCGTCGAGCGATTTGGCTAAAAAAAAATAATCAATATAACTTATTTTTACAAAAGAAGTATTAATTTTTTTTAATTTTTTTAAGTAGTAAAGAGTTGTTTTTATTTAATTAAAGAAATTCATTTCCATACTTTATTTCTCCTAAAATTCTAAATAAAATTTGTTACTTAGCCGTATGATCAGAGCTGTGCGGTACTCGAGTACAAGTACTCAAACACTGTACTCCAAGTACTTTCAGTGTACTCGGTACTCAGTCCCGAGTACTTTAATTTGAATGTACTTATACTTGTACCTGGTACATCCAAAATATGCAATGAGTACATTTTTATGCGGTGAGGTTGGCGTGGACACATATGTGCAAATATGTGCGTGGGTGTTGAAAATGAGCAACACTGCTCAGACTTGTCAAATTACGGACATGCTGCCTGAGGCAGCCTCAGCCAGCCTGCCTCACACGACAGCCTTAAGACAGCCTCACTCAATAAATAAAAGGACACAGGAAAAATCATTGAACAAAAGGTTTTTACTTATGTATGAAATGTAATTTTGTTTATATTTTGGTAGAAATAAGGTGACAATATTCCTCAAAAAGATAATTAAAAAATAAAGCTAAGGCAAAGTAAAACAAGATACTAGCCTAAAGCGAAATAACAATATTTGATGAAGGCAATAGGCCGGCCAGTATTTAGTTCTGCACTAGTGATTCTTAATTCATTTCTTAATCGCCCCATTTCTCTAGCATTTTTTCCAACATTTCATAACTAAAGTGTACTCTGTACTTTGTACTCGTATGGGTACTCGAGTACAACGGTACTGTACTTGTACTTGGTACTCGAGTACTTTTATATAAGAGTACTTGTATTCAGTACTCGAGTACTTTTTCATTGTACTCGGAACAGTTCTGGGTATGATACAACTTCAAGGTGGTGCGCGACTTCTGGGACACCCTGTACTATTGATTTTTTTTATATTTTTAGGGCTGCCTGCAAGGAATTCCCAAACTTCAAAGGTTTTAAGTTCGATCAGCGTCAAACCGCCGAGCAATCGCAAGCCGAAGCGCAGATGCAACGCACCGCAACGCTGGGCAAATACGCCTCGCTAGGACGGCGCCCGTTGCCGCAAACGCCCGACGAGAAGGCGCGCAAGCAGCCGCCGGTACCCAAAGTGCCCGCGACGATCTCCCAGAACGTACCGGAAGTGCCGTTAAACCCGGTCAACTTCCGGTCTCTGCAGAGGGGGGCTTGGCAGGAAACTCCGAGTTCTTTTCATCCGGGGGCGCAGTTCAGGTCGTTGCAAAGGGGCGTTACCGGGCAACCTATGGGTCATTCCCAGTTTAGATCCGTGAAAATTCAGGATCAGCAACACGGGGATATGCACGGTAATGGCGAAAGCGAACGGCAGTTGTATGCTGTGACAGAATTGTAAGTTTTATTTTATTTTCTATTTGGGAAATGCAGGCAGTCATCAGCCATAAGAATTTTATTTTTATTTTTTATGCGGTACCGTAAAAACTTTTTATTATTTATTTACCTGGTACTGCATTATTTTGTGAGGCATATTCTGTTACCAACTTATTGTGATAAACAATATTTAAACTTAAGAATATGCCAAAATATAGTTTAGACAAACTAGGGATCTCTATATACTATAAAACATCACAGGTTTAGAGCAATACTAAATTTTATATATCGAATAAAAACACAAACGGATTTTCTACTCCAAATTTCAATTCTTTTGAATCATTCCTAAAACTTTTACCAATATAGTAACGTATAAATATAGTAACACAACCCAAGTAAATAAGATTACATTTACATTTTTATTGAACATATTTGTTGTTTAATAGTTGAATGTTTTCTTATCTTTACTCTAAAAAAGCACATTCCAAAGAACTAAATACTCAAAAAAACTGCACACAAAATGTGTCACTTTTCTCAAAATTAATTGTGATGAAAGGTACTCGAAAATGTGCCAAAATAAAAAATGATTTGACTGAAGTAATCTTGGTGACACTCTCTAAAATTACAGTATATTTATGTAAAATTACTGTTTTCAGTAATGTTGCAGTTGGCATGTAATATTACAGTTTAGTTATGTAAAATTACATTCTTTCCGTAAAATTAAGGAACGTTTAGGTGTTAAACACATAGATAACCAAATATGACATTTATAAAGGGAACAAGACACTATTCTACTTCACATTTTTAGATGATTAACTCAAGTTTTTTGTAAAAAATTTGCTCATAATATGTTCCGTGTCAAGTAATAACAAGTTTTAATAAATAAAAACCGTTCTGGTGTAAAAGGTACTGCCAATCATTGGTAGTTTGAAGTACAATTTCACAATAATGCATTTATAAATATAAAATTAAGGATATGATTAGTCATAGTCTTTAATTTTAGGGATTTCAATTATATTTGTATTTTTAATAATAACGTCATCTTGTAATTGTTACATAAACATTTTTATAGTGTATTCTAGTGTAATGTTAAAGGAAATGACCACACTTTCTAAATGATTAAGAGCAAATAGGTACACCTCATATTAAATTAACTTCCATGTTAAGAGTTAACCAATTCCTTTAGAATAATTTTATTTTTTGTTAGGATTTGGCTAATGAGCTAGTTAACAATTTATATTAAGGCTTGACAGAGTTAATCGGAGTTAATTTTCTCTTAATTTTGAAATTGTGGTCTTTTTGGAGGAGTTTAAATGAATATTGTATGATAGTCAAGAAATTAAGAAGGGGCATTCTAGCAGGATTCCATAAAGTTAGTTTTATTAGAGAATTTTAAAATCTAGAACTAAAAAAGCCCATCATGCATAATCTTTTCTTTTCTTAATTGCGTTTATTTATATGGCTACGATTTTATTAACTGAAAAGTGGCCATTCATTGTACATTTATAATTAGTTATATATTACTAACGCTAAATTTAAGGGATAACTGCCAAAGAATAGTAAGAGTGGATGATTGAACAAAATAAAAAAAGTTTGTGTGTTTTTGGGAGTGAATGTTTCTAAAAGTTATATAAACTAAACCAAAATATCGATTTTTGGTTTATATGTAGTTAAACTGTGTAACTTTACAATTAATAAATGTTTACAAAAAATATTTTTTTTAGTTTATTTTCTTAGCTTATAATACATCGATTTAATCTGGCCTGTGTAAAGAATTTATTTTTAAGTTTTATTTTTATTGACTGTTTTTGAATATATGCTTTAAATTTTATGTACCTATATTACGCTTTTCGTGTATTATATTAAAAAACACCACAATATATTTATTTTTACTTTTAAGGTTGTATTTTTTAAGTAAATTACTGTATTATAGTAAGTTTATGTAAGAAATAATTCATTTTAAATAAAACAATTAATTGTCCGCAATGTTTTTATTCCTTACCTTAAAGTATACATAAATTTAATATATATTTTTTTTACATTAAGAGTACTTAGTCAGTACAAGTTATTTAACTTTTATAGTACAGTTCATCTGTTAAAAAATCAGGGCGTACATCAAAAAATTTCTAACTGGTTGGATTTTTGATATTTTGTTTGTATTCCTGGTGGTCTAAAGAGTAAAATGTTAAATTTCCGTTTTCCCCCTCCGGCGCTTTCACCCTTTTATAAGTTTTGAATCTTTTATCTTGTTTTCTGATAGTCGGACAAAAAAGTGTTATAACAAAAATGTACACCTTTAAATTTTAAACATATTTGTTTATAGACAAAACTTTCTGTATTTAGTTACTAAAAAGATAGAGGGCGCCAAAAAATTGTATTCTTTATATTTTGATATTAACATTTTTATATTTTTTATTGATATTTTAGAGTTCAGCAACTTTCAATTTTAGCATTTTTTCATGAAAAAAACACGGAGAACGGTATGGTACATATATGGTACCATACCTATATAAAATGGTTCTACCATACATTCTATATACCTAAAATCCAGCCACTTCGGAATTTTTTGATGTCAAAATACAGATTCTAAAGTTTCAAATTATATTTTATTTATTTTTAGTCCTTCATTTTTCCAACATCATATCCTAAGGTTTGGAGTCCCTGACTTATAAGATTTAGGGATAATAAAACAGTCCCATTTGATTCCATTCTAATTACTAAAAAAACAAAAAATTACACATTTTTCACACACCTAACAGCAATTGCTCACAATTATTTCCGGCTGTGGTAGCCAACATTTTAGGCTGTAATAATTCAGGTTGATATCCAAAAAATGATCCTATATAACCCAGCAAGGATGAAGCTTGTGGTTTTGACAAATTTACTTCCAGAGAGTGTGATCCTGGACGTAAGGGAATATGTGTCCTACCATATCCTTCTAGTTGCATGCCTCGATATACACTAAGGACTAACTGAGGCCCTAACAAAAGCAGAAGGAGGTTTTTTAACGAATGTTTGCCGAACGAGCCGTAGGCGAGTTTTGCATTCACATTCATGTTTTTGCACAAGACCGGAAGAAAATGCGAGTTTGTAAATCAAGAGTGGCGAAAGTCGCACTTTTTTTTTACCCAAAAACAAAAAATCAGCTGTAGATGCGAAAGTTATCTTTTAATTGAGTCGTCTGCTTTTCCCAAAAATCCGTTATAATATATTTTCGCATCGCGCGTATCATGAAATAGTGTACTAAGGACGGTAGTCCTTAAGTAGTGCAGAAGGAGCTTTTTTAACGAATGTGAAGTTTGCAAGACGAGATAAAGGCAATTTAAATTGCCTTTATCTTGTCTTGACATTCGTTAAAAAGCAATTACATTCAATTTCAATTCAATACAATTTGCAATTACATTTCTTAGAAGGATATGAGAAGAATTATTGTCTCTGTGACTTTTTTGTATAATATTTGAAAAGTTGATTGTGCAATCTTATTGGAAAAATTAAATTTTAATATACCTCGAATAAACTCTAGAAATCAAATAACGTTTAGAAATGATAGAGCTAGGACCAATATTGCGAATAAATCACCGAAAATGGTTTTACTGTTGGGCAATAAAGATATATTATTATTAAAAAAGCTAAGTAAAGGATAGTAATTACTAATTAATAATTATAATTTTCTCAACAACGTGAATAAAATTCAAGTTTTGCGAATCGAGGAATGGCGAAAGTGTCACACTTTCGCCACGGCGTTGAAAAATAGTACATTACATATCGAGTATGCTCTATAGCGAAAGGCGGCGATTTCTGAAGTGTAAAGTTTGCTGAACAAGCGAAATCGCCGCCTTTCGCTATAAGATATAAATACTATTTTTCATGACTAGCGCAAGAGACTAGCGTTACCTAATATTTACGCCACAGAACATAAGATTTACGCGTTTTTATACTAGTAAGCTTACTTGAGCGGAACATAGTGAAGTTAACGCATAATCAATTTTGTCGTACCTACCAACCTAAATACAATTAAAGAAGTTTAAACTAATTACTTTCGCGTTTATAGAAAATCAGCTGTAGAGTACTCTGCTTGTTCCCAAAATTCGCTATTATCGCATCGGTCAAAGGGCAGTAAGTCGAATTTTCGCTGCGCGTGTCATAAAATTGTACATTCCTTAACGAGTGCAAAAGGAGTTTTTTTAACAAGCGAGTTTTGTAATCCAATCGTTAAAAAAGGACAGTAAATATTTAAAATATATATTTCTCAACAGCGCTGCAGCGTGGAGAAAATGCGATTTTTGCGAAGTTGAATATTTTTTTTAAATTGTTTAATGTTTTAGTTATAAAAAAAGTTCTACATACATCCATAGGGGTTAGTAGACTTAAACTGCACCTCTACAGGAAAATTCAGAACAATTTTGTCTCCATTATTAATAGCATTTGCCATTTGGGATAGTCCTGCCTCTATTCCTCCAATTATTTTCCAATCTGCTCCAGACACAAATTCGTATTTACAGTGCCAAGATGTTCCAGCAGCTGCTAACGTTTCTATATACTCAATTTGTCCAAATATGGACACTAGAAATGTCCCGTCTGACATCTTACATGTCTATCTACTAAAACTAATATTGTAGCCCAACATTACCTTTGTTTTGTTTGTATTTATGCCCTTAGTTACCAATACAAACAAACAGGTTTTGGTATAAAACGTAAAAACATAAGAAATCATTTAACATTTATAATTTTTATAAACTTGTTATTCCTAGAGTTCATTTTTTTATCTGGTTTTTTTGTTAGGTTGGTGGCTTATGCCAGTTTGACTTAGTATTTTTAGTATTTAAAAATTATTCCAAAAATAATAGCAACGAATTCGAATGTCAAAGCCCTTTTGAGGGCAAAACTTCATTTTGATGAAATTTTGCCAAATGCCACAATGGAAGAAAAAGTACATCGCCTTATGGACATTTTTGAAGTAAAAAAGTAACGAATTTGGTTTTATAAATATTACATCACACATTATTTTCACCATTGGACAACATTTACGTTTACAAAAAATTTTAATTTCTTTTATATAGGTACTTAAATTCTTTTCAAAGCGAAGATTATTATCTGCTGGGAATACTTTCTCTTCTGGGCCGTAAAGAAACCTATATTTAACTACTTTTTTATATGATTTTACTCATCCAAGCACCACCAAAGTCAAATTAATTGCATTTTACTACGAATTTAACTACGAATTTCGACAACTGCACAATGTAACCTACAATCATTTATACATAACCACAATTAGATTTATAACTAGCTTAGTTTGTTTTAATCAATGCGACCAACTTGACCACTGTATTTACCAACCAAAACTCCAAATTCGCAACGTTGCCGCAGTCCAGATAAAAAAATGAACTTTTTACCTATATCATTAAAAACATTTATTAAAAATCGAAAAACAATAATTAACTATATAATAATAATAATTTCTATACCTGGAATCCAATTTTGGCCCTTCTGGGTCAAAGTCATGGATGTTTCATACTTTTTCATTGAGCTAACCATATCCCACCAGCACCAAAAACAAACGCGTTAACAGTAATACTGCGTGCAGTAATGACTTGATTTAAACTGAAAAAAACATGTTTTTTTCAGAAACATTGTTTTTGTGGTTTTTGCTTATTAGTTTCAACTTGAATAGATAGACAACTCTATCTACTAATTGTGCAATTAGGGGTTTTTATGATAATTATTTTTTAAAGCTTTCCCCGTAAGTTATAAAAATATAAGCTAAAAAAAGGTAATAAAACAAAACTGTATTTTATACATATTTAATAATTTTGGTGATGTAAACAATTATATTTGAATGTTAAGGCACGTTTTACATGTTACATTATGGTACTAAAATTATTATACCAGAAACTACAATTATTACAAGAGTTATATATAAAATATGGTATATAGATATATATTAAAGTTTTTATTATGACTAGTAACATACATTTTCTTGTTAATTTAATAATTATTTTACACCGTTTTACACATTTCTTAAGTAACAAACAAATTTAACATAAATAATAAATAAGCCTTTAGGTACTGTAACATATAAAACATTACTTAGATTATATAAATCAGTATGTAGATGTATGAATAAAATTATTAATAGGTACTTATAAAGTAAATAATCAGTAAAAAACATTTTGATTGTTTAGGGGGAATTATTCTATCAAATACGCACATAAAAATTAAGGAATAATTTAGTTTTCTCAAGCCAAGTGTTTTAAATTTTACCCATTTTTTGTTTTTAATATTATCTATTAAATTCTATAAAAATTGGTAAAATGTAATTTTCAGCGGCATTAATTAAAATTACTCCATGATTTTTTAGTAGTAGAAAATGACATAAGTAACAACTTAGTTACTTAGTGATTTAATAAAAAATAGTCATATTAATTGACTTATATAAAAGTGTATCACCATAATAAGAAAATTTAAAAACAGTTCAGATAAATATATTAACCAATTTTTTTTAAATAAAATATATTCACACATAGTATAAAATATCTAAAAACAAAACAATAATCCCTACATAAAAGATGTAACTGCCAAAAAAATAAATAAAACTGAAAAAAATCAATGATCAGCAAAAACAAAAGTCACTAGAGTAAATATCTGTACCCAGAGCCAAACTGTATTCCAAGTCCACTTTTTTAAATCACATTAGACATTTTTTTCCGCTCTAACCAATGGTAAACAGAATGAGGTCCTGGCTTACTTAGTTTTTGATATATAAAAAAAATAAGTAAGCCCGCACTTAATCCTGTTTGACTCTTAAATTTAAAAAAGTGGACTTAATACAGTTTGGCTCTGGGGTGCATATATATTGCTAAAAAGGCAACAGTGTTCCAAGTAACTTCTAATCAAAAAGTGTATGTGTGCTTATAAATATTTACATAAATACAGGGGAGTCTTAATTTTTGTCTCAATATACATATGGTTATTTACACTGACTGCTGTGATGTGTTCAACTTTCGAGCTGGCTGAGGAGACATCTGAAAAAAAAAACAAATTAATTATCATGTTATGTTTGTGGCAGTCAACATATGCGGATGCAGATGTTTAGAAAGGGTAGAATTGCTTTTGAATTTACATCCATTAAGTGATACAAAAAGATTAATTTTAAAAGTAGGATAAGGGGACAACGGTTTTAAAATTTTCGAAAAAATTGAGCCGGCAACAAAAATGTTTTGTTTTTTCGGAGAAAAAAAAACGAAAAAATGGGAAAATTTTCAGAAAAATTGACTTGCATTTATTTTATTTTATTCAAAGGGTACCGTAAACACGGGTGGCTTTGCACCCTGCGGGCGACTTTAGCCTTTTTTTGAAATTTTTTTCGCGCTCGATAAAATTAACATTTATAATTTGTTGGTCTAAACCTGTCAATTGAGCGATTCTATTGAGTTTATATTACAAGAAAATCAGTGTTTTAAAAAAATAAATGGGATTTATTACACTTTAAAGTTGTATATATTGCATTAGTGCAAAACTCTTAAAAATACACGCGTTTCAATTTCTATATTATGCGCAATTCTTTGGAATGATGATCCTTGGTTAACTACAGGTCGATTTTTTATTGTTTTTATCGGTAATCCCTTGGAATTGCTATATGTCACTGCTAACATATGTCTAATAAAAATCTAATAAAATATTGAGTTAATTTTATACGGAAAATATACTGTGAGACAAAGTAACCCGCAACCAGGGGGTAACTTTGCACACCCAGTTTTTAATTTTTATTTTTGAAAATCAGCCCTATGTAAGATTATAGCATAGTTATTATGAGCAACTCAAGACTCAAATTTTGGTATACAATATTTAATGTTTATGACTGTTAAAACTACAAAAATGTTAAGATTAAGTTTGAAATTGAGCTAAAGCCACCTGTGTTTACGGTAATACAAAAAAAAATGTATGACAATTTTTCTGAAAATGTCCAAAAGTGAATTTCCCAGTCTGAACTCTAAAACGCCTTTACCAATCTTTATGAAATTCTGTATAAAAATACTTCAACTTATATATCAGTTTACGTGTTTTTCGAGAAAATTTATTTTGAAAGCCCTTTTATTTCATAATAAAAAAACGTTCGAAAAATAACTTTTAGGGAATTTTTTTAAGTAATTAAAAAATATGCTGTTAAAGACCGTATTTTTGTTAGTAAACCCTGAAAATTTTGTACAAATCAAACGAAAAGTAACGAAGATACAGCGCTTCAAAGTCGTCAAAAATGACCACTTTTCAGCAAAATAATCAAAAAGGGGTCATTTTTACCGACTTTGAAGCGCTGTATCTTCGTTACTGTTCATTTGATTTGTACAAAATTTTCAGGGTATACTAACTAAAATACGGTCTTTAACAGCATATTTTTAATTAACTTAAAAAAATTCTCTAAAAGTTAATTTTATAACGTTTTTTTTTATTATTAAATAAAAGGGCTTTAAAAGTATTTTCTCGAAAAACCCTCGAACACGTAAACTGAGTTGAAGTATTTTTATACAAAATTTCATAAAGATTGGTAAAGGCGTTTTAGAGTTAATAATCTTTTTACTTATTAATTACTCATTAATTACATATGGACAGTTTTGGTTACTTTTGACCCCCCTTTCTTACGTAAGATTCTATCTTGATCTTCTAAATAATAAACTGTTTTGTTAGTAAAGGATCAGTTTCACTAAAACTTACAGTTGTAGAAAACAGAGTGACGCTGAAATCGCCATGTTTAATAGCATGGGAATTTAGGATATAATTTTAGTTTACTTAAAAATAAAAAAAATGTTTTTTACTTTTTAAATAAATGTTTTTTATTTTTTAAATAATAAAAATACGATAATACACGGAAAAATGTACTATACTTTTTTCTATAAAACCAAACAGGGATAACAATAAAACATGAAATTTTAATAAGTTATTTTTTTTCAATAAGCAATAAAAATTATTTAAATAAAATAAAAATTAGACTGTACACTTAAGTAAAATTAAAAAAACTATTTGGAATCCAAAATGGACTTATAATATTGAATTTTGATTCACGAAATATAACGTAAGAATGAATTTCACCCCCCTCTCCCCCAACATAAGGACATGTAGAGATTTTCGAAATCCCCCCCTCCCCCTCAAGACCCTTACGTAATTAATGAATGGCCCCTTAAGCTTAATTTTCATGTATCCGTTTGTCCGTTTTTCGATAAAATTGTCCGATAAGAAATGTTCTACTTTTCATGCATACGTTTTTTAATGTCGTTTAACGGATTGATTGGGCGACAAATAGAAATTAAGTGTCACTTTATTAAATTTACCTAATGCTTAATTGTCATAGTTAAAGTTATGTCAACAATTGCAACTTTAACAGTTAGCTGTCTAATAAATATAAAGGTAGGTAAATATACCTTATAAAAAGAAGATATAATGTACATTAAAATGTATAGTTTTAAAAAATCAGGTCCTTTTAGTTCTAGTTTTAATTTTTTTGTTTGTCCTTTCTTTTTTTCCGTTATTCTTATTAAATAAAAACATAACAGTAGAACATTATTCATATAACGAACGTAATATTTTCGTTTTACAATCTTATTGAAAAAATATAAAAATATTTGAAAATAAATTATCTTAAAATAACGTTAGGCGTCAAAAACAGATGTGTAGTGACGGATGAGTTAAAATTATTTTAACTTTCTCTGTCAGACGTATGAAGTTGAAACTTGACGGACCGATAAAATGTCATAATTTTTGAATTATAATTGGACCAATAAGAGCGCTCCCGGATGAACGGACAAACTGATACATGAAAATTAAGCTTTATGCGTTAATTTTGACGCGCAGTGAATAATACCGCTTTTAAGTTTTGGCACCAAACTCAAATATCGAGCATTTTTAAAAATGCCCATTCTTCTCCACATAAAGGTATTTCTTTTTTACGATTTCTTATGAATTGTAAACCTATTTCATTTTACAAAAAACATAAATCTTACTTACCCAGTTCAGTTGCGTCCTTGACACGCTACTGCTAATCCTCGGACTCATATCGGAATACCTATGGACAGCAGCCGTAGTCGTGTACACAGTCACTTCCGGCCTGACTTCTCTTCTTTTGACGTCGTCTTCCGGTTGCTCCAGCGCGCCATCTATCCGATGCATGCTCAACACGGGCGAGTTTCTCATGCTACCGTCTCCCGTCGAGTTGATGTATATGCTCGTCGTGTAGACGGGTTTTTTGTCGCTCAGATGCGACAGAGTGGGCGAGTTGCGCATGTTTTCGATGGCGACGGTGTCGCGGGCGTCGTGCGACCTCCGGTTGTTGTTGCTTCCGGTGCTGTTGAGGGAGTTTACGGACTTCCGGTTGGCGGAGTCCAGGGAGTGCCTGGTGATGCTGAGATTCGACGCGTTTTTTTCGCAGTCGGTGGAAGACACTGAAAGAGGAAGAGAATAAATTAAAAGAAGCCCTTGTGGAAATTTTTCTCTGAAAAAGTTTTAATAAGTAATAGTAAGAGTTTTGAAAGTCTTACTTTCTCAAAAAAACTCTGATAAGAAGGAAAAAGTCAGAATAAGACTTTTTAAGTCGGAAAAAGTCTTAGTAAGTCAGACTAAAAGCAAGATTTGGGAGTCTTCTGGACTTAATAAGACTTAAAAAGACATTTTGCAGAGAAATGGTAGGTATACATATAGCGATTAAAATAAATATCCGGAATTATTCAGAGATGTTCGGCCATTTCAAGCGGATGGACGGGACAAATCACAAAACTGTTTTTATAAAAAAATTTGTAGGTAATTTATTATATATTATTTTTGCATCAAAATTGTCAAATATATTCTTCTATTATTAGGCTATACATTAAATAAAAAAAATCGCAAGAAATATTTTATAAAAGTAGAGATAATTTCAATAATTGACAGGGGATGGACGGGACAAGATAAATCTTTTTTTTGTCCCGTCCACACCTTTCAATTATTAAAATTATATCTACTTTTATAAAATATTTCTTGCGTTTTTTTTATTTAATGTATAACCTAATAAAAGAAGAATATTTTTGACAATTTTGATGCCAAAATATTGTATAATAAATAATCTACAATTTTTTTTATAAAAACAGTTTTGTAATTCGTGCGTTTCGCGCGCTTGAAATGGCCGTGTTGTCTTTGGTTATTTCAAAAGAAAACACAAAGAAAAGTATTCATAAACACTGTTTTGTGTTCTTATAAGGCTTATAAAAACACGAAAGCAATGTTTACAATATAGGTAAGCAACTTTTACTTCAATTTATTACAATAAAACAGTTAACTGTGTACTATGGTACATAAGGTATAATAACTATTTTTATTTAATCATGATTAAATGATCATTTTAGTGGTGCTTAATAAACGATTTTTGTTTCAAATACAAGGCTATTCCTGTCCTGGCTATTTGTTATGTATAGACAATTGTTAATATATATTTTGTCAATATAGGTTTTTGTTACTGTTTTTATTTAAACAAAAATATTTCATTGTTTGCCGAAGGCGTCCTAATATGGGGTATTCCTAATATGGGGTACCTCATATTAACGCCATATTGAAGTCATACGACAAGTAGCATCGCACGTCATATTGACGTCAATATGGCGTGCGATGCTACTTGGGTTGTTTAGGTTATAATATATTTTAATTTGATTAAAAATTAGACAAGGTTTTAATGTGAATCTGGATATCATATTCAGTTTTTTATAATTTATTTATATCTGTTTTTTATATCAATAAAATTTTAAAGTTGTAAATACCTTTTATTTTTTTGTAATATACAATTGCACCAGATATTTTTTTCTAGATACTCTAAAGTAAGAAATCTGGCAATTTGAATTTATTTTTTGATGTATCAAAAATATTTCAAATATTTTCATAAAAAACCAATGATAATGCAGAATTGTAATTCGCAATATTCAAAATATGAATAGAAAAAGTCAAAAATTGAAGAACGAATTATGATAATTATCAAATTATAAATATGCACTTGGGTTGCATACTCAAATTAATTAATTAAATTTTTATAATCTGGAATTATTAAATTACGATATGGTAGTAATTTAATAGTAACCAACCCAAGGGCCTATTTCTAATTTAAGGGATTAGAAGCAAAAGGGTACAAGTGCATCTCTTCAAAAATGAAAAAAAGGGTAAAAATATACGAAAAAAATAGCTTTTTTATTATTCTATTCTTTAAAAGAATAGATATTTTGATTGAATAATTTATAATGTTCTTTAGTAGGTGTAGGTTTCTTAACAGTCCCCATTCTCGATCTAATTCAGTTAAGTTTGAAGGACATAAATCTAAAAAAAAATTATAGCAGCTGTGGTAAGTATATGCGCGCTATATACTCTATGAAATTCGGTAAATGTATAAAGATGGAAAAGTTTAAAAAAGCACAACGCATTATTACCACTTTCATGGAAATTTAATTTAAAAAAATTAAAAAGTTGGTAGATCTACCGAAAAGTTGGTAGAGTTGGCAACCCTGCCTGGTAGCCTTAGATGGGGTAGACACAGAATTTTTAAATTATTTTTTTACATAAAAATTATAATGTTTTAAGTATTTTTTTATCTAGTATGGTCTTGCTTGCATACAGGGTGAGTTTTAAGTTGACGCGTTCCTTTTAACAGTGTGTAGAAATCAGCTAGACAAATAAATATTTTAAGTAACTTTTTTATCAAAACTCAAAAATAAAAAAGTTATAGCCCATCAAAGTTTAATTAAATTTTAAGCCGGTCCTGGCTATTGTTAACGTAAAACTTAACCATTTAAATCAAATTGACATTTTGCAATAAAAATTGCTATTATTTACTTAAGTTGCAGCATTTGCATTTTGACGACACTCTCCATAAATTAGTAACATTTCCACTAATTCATTATTGCTATAATTATGAACCATTTTTAACAATAATTAAGGGCCTTAATTAATTTAAGGCACAAAAAAACTGACATTTTTCATTGCTAAATGTCATTTTGATTTAAATGGTTATGTTTGTTGTCATAGATGACATTTTGCATAGTTTATTTTGTTATTTTTATTTTTATGGTTATGTTTTTTGTTAACAATAGCCAGGACCGGCTCAAAATTTAATTAAACTTGGAAGGCCTATAACTCTCTTATTTTTGAGTTTTGATAAAAAAGTTACTTGAAATATTTATTTCTTTATCTGATTTCTACACGCTGTTAAAAGGAACGCGTCAACTTAAAACTCACCCTGTATTAATGAACCAACATTGCTAAACTAAAATGAAGAAAACTAAATAAAGAAAATAATGATAAAAAATTAAAATGGTACCCCATAATAGGCATCTTTTCGTAGTACCATTTGAATAAAATTTAAAAAATGAAAAGTCAATTTTTCTGAAAATTTTCCAATTGTTCCGTTTTTTTTTTCGAAAAAACCCGTTTTTTTTTTGTCGGCTCAATTTTTCCGGAAATTTTAAAACCCTAATCATACTCATATAAAAGCAATATATTAGTGATGTAAAAAAACGTTTTGCATTGTTTTGCTGGGAACATAAGCACAAAATGACGTATTTTCCGAAAGTTAACAGTACTAAAAACTTAAACTGTGCAGCTTAGCTATCGAACGACGATTTCTAATAAAAATATTCAATTTTTCTTGTCGGAAAGTATTTTGGTCCAACCTTGAAGTTTAATGCTTGGTGTACTCTAGATGTCATAAATTGTTTATTTTTTTCATAAATACAAAAAAACAAACGCTTTTTTAATTAATATTCATGTTTTTTTACAATTTGAAAAAAAGGTTAAATCTTTTTTTTTAAACCCTTTCTTTACAAAAATTTATAATTAAAAAATCTGTTATAAATTCCTTGTAATTTTTTTGGGTTAAAAAAACAATCAGATAATTATTATTTTTATGAGGGTTTGAAGAAATTTAGGGATAAATATTAATATTTATATGATAAATCTTATTCATATAAAATATATAGCAAGCAGAAAACTAACGTTTCTAAGGAAAAAGTAGAGCTAGAACGACCATTAATTATTTCTTAAGATTTTTTGCTTTAAGAGCTTATAATTTTATTTTAATAGTCTTTAAAGGTGCCAAAATTAATTTTCAATGCTTTACTAACCTATTTCAACCGCAGCGCACTCTTCCTTCTTCTCCACCGCACTATTCACCCGCAAACTAACATTACTTCCGGAATTCCCCCTCTCCGCCACCTCATCCTCATCAGCCTTCGTGTCGTTGCCGTTGACGTTAACAACCGGCTTGGGCCTTTCCACGGTTGCCACTCTGGCCGTCTTGGGAGGCGTGTAGCGCGGCATCCTCGCAACCCAGTGATCCAAACTGGAACCCACCGAGGAAGTGCTGGCAGCGCTGCTGGAGTTGCAGCTGGAGCCGACGTAGGCGCCGTTGCGCTTCTGGTAGAACAGGATGTAGGCACTGTTGTTGACCAACAAGGAGTTCATGTCTTCTTCGTTCTTGCTGAGAGAGTCGACTTTGGCGTCGTCGTACAAGTACCACGTGTTGTCGTAGGAGTTCTTGCAGGCTGCGGTGTAGTGACCGGTTTCCAAATCCGTTCCGTGATGATAGCAGACCGCGTAGAGATCGTACAAGTTGTCCTCGGAAGACGATTGCTTTCTGGATCTTTTCCATGGAGACCAAGTGTTGTTTATGATCATGGAGTTGTCGGAATCGTTTAAGGGTCCGTTGCGGTTCAAGTTTGCGTTCCGTTTGTTTGCCAGATGCGGAGACATGTCCAGACCGTTTACAGGGAAGTCTACCATCGAGGTTAATTTGGTGCTGTTGCAGCCTCGCAAACTTTGCCTGAAATAAAAAATATTTGTTGTTTGTTGGGTCATTATTAAAATTACTATCATTTTTAAAAGTATTCTCTTTACAAAGGCTTTCAATATTTTGTACTGGATTTCAATATTCAGTTTGATTTTAAAATTAATCAAAAAGCAATAGAAGAAGTGTCTAATACAAAGTCTCTAGGCTTTATATTAGACAAAAAACTAAGCTTTAAAAACAATATTGAAAAGATAAAAAATAAATTCTATATGCTTTTTTTGGTAGGAATATTTTTTTATTAAACTTAAAAACCAAATTTCAGATTTATCATGCCTATGTGAATACCTACTTAATGTACCTGCCATGTATTTGGGGGCATGCAAGAAATCTAGATTTAGACCAATTACAAGTTGTACAGAACCGAGTAATAAAATGACTCTGTACAATGAAGTACAATTATTACAAATAATATAGATGGATTTTTTAATATTAATATACAAAATTAAAAACAACCTAATACTTACTAACTTAAGCCTACAAATGAACAGTTATATTCATGAGTATAATACAAGAACCAATCAACATTACCATGTTCTATCTAGTGCAAGAAATATAGGTACAAACAGAATATCTCATAGTGCTGTCATATGGTTCAATAAACTTCCAGATGTTAAATCTAGATTTGTTTCGTAGCCTTGTAAAATCAATTATTTTTAACCATATTACATATTACAATGTATAAATTCTTTTTAATTTTTTTGGGTAATTAAATAAATAAAATAAAAACTTCTAGAAGGTGATTAAATTGAGGCACTTTGAGTCTTTTGGGATATCAGACAATTATTGTTTTTTGCGACTATTTATTTACAGTATATCAAATATTTTGTTAAATAAAATTGTATTAATATAGGCAGAAATACCTTTTTGATAAAACTGAGTAGTTCCCCTGCAATACCGAAAAATCGGCAAAATTGATGGTGAGTTGAACTTTGATCTTTAATAAATTTGTAACCAATTAGTTTAGAAAAAAATCATAAGAAATTTTTTTGTAAAGCGTTTAATTCCCTACAAAAATATCCGAACACGTTTTCTGTATGACCTTTGGTTGGTGAGTTACAAAATGTTCTTATGGAAAATCGAAAAAAAAAGATATTAAAGAGTTCATATTTTCACAGGCTCATTTGTATACCTAAACTTAATTTTTAAGACTGTTTGCAAGAAAAAAACTAATTCGCTTTTTTTAAAACACCCTAATAAATATTTATGAAAAAAATTTAGAGTATATTATGTATTAAGTTTGTTAAATACCATTTTAGACACGAATTTAAATTAGGAACGAGCAAGCTTGCGAGCGAGTGTTTAATAAAATGATTTTATAGAAAAGATTATAAACAATTTGCTTACTATAATTTTTCTACGACAAATATTTTTATAGAGGGACTTCTATATAAAAATAGAGTAATCTGTGAATCTGCATTACCGGCTTTTAAAATGGCAGTTGGTTGTAAAAAGTTTTTCTGTAAAGATCGAAATATATCTCTTGAAATGGACTAACAACTGTTAAAATCCGATATAGAAGAAGTTTTTACAGTGAAAGTGAAGAGGATGTGTTATGGGTACCGCCGGCGAAATCAAAAGGTCAGCACAAACGTGCATATAAAGATTGGCGTGAAGAAACTGTTTAATAATTTTGTGTTGAGATAATAAAATAATTTTCTCATTTACTATTATTTTCAAAAAGGGTAACTTATTTTGACGATTGTATGACATTTAATAACTGTCAACTAACTTAAGGCCAAATTCAGTCCGTGACTAAAAACCTGATGATAGCATGTGACAAAAACGCCCTCAAGACACAGTTTATATAAAAAGCGACACTTTTTTTGCACGCATGAGGAACTTTTATAACGAGCCAAAGGCAAGTTATAAAATCTCATAGTGTAAAAAAGTGGCTTAATATGCTAAAAAAATGATGAGTGATGAAAAGTTCATATGAGATAAAGGGTGTTAAAAATTTAAATTTTATATCATTAACAATTAACAACTAATAAAAGTGACGTTAAAGAAATAAATGTTTCATTTCTCTGATCTGATTTTCAAATTGTCCAAGCAACAATTTAAGTATTTGTTACATACATACATGGGACTATTGAAAAAACATTTAAAGTGTTTTGCGACATTCACCGATACCTTTATATCATTATTTTTTCACTTACAGTTAAAGTGGGAACACTTATTGAGTTTCAAAATGGTAACAAATTTTTCACTAGCGATAATTTTGATCTTTTTTTCTTTTCGAAATTCCACAATACCGTTCTTAAAAAAATTACATTTCGTCACTTGAGAATTATAGTGTTCTATCTGCATTTTTTTTAAATTGATGTTAGTCTTGTTTTAATTCTCAAAGATGCATATTGTTCTATCTAATTATAATTGGGGTAGAAATTGTACAGTTTAAGGCTTAAATTGTATAATTTCTACCCCAATTATATATAGATAAAACAATATACATCTTTAAGACTTAAAACAAGACTAACTTCAATTTAAAAAAAAATGCAGATAGAACACTATAATTCTCAGGTAACGATTTATCTTGAATCAATGCAAAACTAGTAGAAAAAAAAAATCTAAAATATCCTATATGAGACTACTTACTGTCTGAATCGTTTAAAATGGACCACTAATATATCAGGTAGAGACCAAACGTCTAGCGTTTTTACTACAGGTTGGTATTGCTGACAATGTGGACACCTCCAAGCGTCTGTCAAAGTTTCTGCTTCGGTATAATCACGCAGACACTCCTCTAGAGTTAAAGGTGCACCTCCTAAAACAAAAACATAGCTATTGAAGAAATAACTTAAAAATATGATTAGTGATAAAATATAATTTTTTATATTCAAAAACGATATTTGGCAAATTTAAAATACATATGTTTATATGTTTTTTTCTCCAAACACTTCAATGGTTACCCTTGGCGTGTTTAGTATCGCGAAATATAAAACTGTCAGTCTAAAATTAATTAAATTTCTAAAATCGATTAGTTTCACCGGCAATTTATTAAGTGCCACATAAACAATTTCCTTTGCAATTAATTATGATCAGTAAAAATTACACGAGTTGCATTCTATCCTTTTTCTACAGCAAATACTTATTATTATCTTGTATAGAGCGACATTTATACAAAAGCGACATTTATTTAGGATGTACTTTTTTAAATAAAAAAAAAAAAAAAAAATACAAAAATAGAGCAACCATTTAGAATTTCTAACTTGGGAATCTGTATTACAATCAGTCTAAGTGACAATTTTTTCTGTGTAAATCGAAATGTTTCCTTTGAAAATAGACCGTTTTAATCCGATATAGGTTTTTCAATGAAATTGAAGAGAATATTTTATGGGCACTCCATGGTGGAGTCTCCAACCAAAATGTTTAATGTTTTATTAGTTAAATCTAGTTTATTGCCGGCGAAATCAAAAGGTCAGTCGACATTTATACAAAAGCGACATTTATACAAAAATAGAGCAACCATTTAGAATTTCTAACTTGGGAATCTGTATTACAATCAGTCTAAGTGACAATTTTTTCTGTGTAAATCGAAATGTTTCCTTTGAAAATAGACCGTTTTAATCCGATATAGGTTTTTCAATGAAATTGAAGAGAATATTTTATGGGCACTCCATGGTGGAGTCTCCAACCAAAATGTTTAATGTTTTATTAGTTAAATCTAGTTTATTGCCGGCGAAATCAAAAGGTCAGTCGACATTTATACAAAAGCGACATTTATACAAAAATAGAGCAACCATTTAGAATTTCTAACTTGGGAATCTGTATTACAATCAGTCTAAGTGACAATTTTTTCTGTGTAAATCGAAATGTTTCCTTTGAAAATAGACCGTTTTAATCCGATATAGGTTTTTCAATGAAATTGAAGAGAATATTTTATGGGCACTCCATGGTGGAGTCTCCAACCAAAATGTTTAATGTTTTATTAGTTAAATCTAGTTTATTGCCGGCGAAATCAAAAGGTCAGTACAAACGTGCATATAAACTTTTCAAATATTGGCGTTGAGAAATTATTTAATAATTTGGAACTTTTGTATTGAGATAATAAAACAATTTTTACGATTTGACATTTGGCAACTAACTTAAAGCTAACTTTAACAGGTTTTTAGGCCGGCTTTAAATTAGTTGACAGTTATCAAATGTCAAACAATCGTCAAAATAAGGTGCCCTTCTTAAAAATAATAGAAAATGTGAAAATTATTTTACTGCCATTTTTCAAAGCCGGTAAAACAGATTCACAGGTTACTCTACACATTACAATTATTTAAATTAATGAATGCATTGTTTTTTAAACCTAATAATATTTGTAGTCGAAAAAGTATAGTATGCAACTCGTTTATAAACTTTTTAGACACTCATTTTATTAAACCCTCGCTCGCAAGCTCGCACGTACCTACTTAAAATTCTTGACTAAAATAGCGTTTATCAAACTTGATACATAATAAATAATAACCAAAATTTTAAAAACAAACAATAGTAGATTGTTCTTTAAGTAAAGAAAAGCGATAGTTTTCTGTCGAGTGGATGATATTATACTCTCGATAACAATGAACAAAGTAAGCTATTGTTACACTAATTGAATAATGAAAATATAGTTTCGCCAGTGAAATAATAAAAAAGAAGATAATTTTTTCCATACAGATAATATATAGTTACATAAATATGATTTTAAAAATTTGAAATTATATTTGGAAAAACAAATTTTTTATCGTAAAACTCAACCTCAAAACCGCAACACTTATCTGTCCAGTTAACAGTGTCAGCAACACAATTTCTTTCATTTGTAAACACAAGTGTTAATTTTTATTTAATTTTTGATTTGATTGTGGGACCAAATAATATGTGAAACTCGTGAAAAATGGTCGATTATTAACTCGAATTCTTGCCACACTTCTTCGCTCTCGTATCAAACGAATGCTCAGTCATAATCGACCATTTTCTCCACTTGTTGCACAGTATAGTAAGTCTTCTTACCTTGTAAGGCTTGTGCCCTTAAAACTTTCACGCTAGCGTGCTCCTCAATGAGATCGTGGTCGTCGCCTATAATCTCTTTTTTGGATTCTTCCGACCACTCGAGTACCAATTTGACGTGAGGTGGGCCGCCGTCTTCGCTGCAGAGGGCCAGGGCCTGATCCACAGCCTCCATAAAAAGGGGATGTTCCAGCGACGGCTCCAGGTAGCATGGGGGCTCGTTATCGTTACAAGCTGGGTCCGAAATTCTCATTTTGAAAATCTTAAAATAAAGAAAAAATAATGTTTTCCCAATCATATTAAAGAATTTGTACATTTAAGACAGTAGCTTAAGGCATATTTATACTCGATTAAAATAAGAACAAAGATAAAAAGTTGAAACTGTGTAAAGTAATGGTTGCGTCCAAGTTCATGAAAATAAGAAATAAGCAATAAAACCTTTAGTCTTAAATAAATAACTTAACTTTGGCTGTTATTTTTGCGTATAAAACTGCGCAGGACAAAATAGGTCTATGTCGCTTGTTTACTTTTATAGCCAATACATAACCTACTATAATACAATTTTGTTGACATAGATAACGTGACATAGACTATATCGACATATATCGCCGACGGTGGACTAGTGGTTAGCGCTGCTGACTACAAGCCGGAGGTCGTGGGTTCGAATCCCACCAGGGGTATGGCTGTTTATTTGTGTGTCCTATTGTGTAATAGTCCTTCGGAGGGGACTTTAAGCCAGCGGTCCGTTCCTACCCCTAACCCGCACAAGCCATTTAGTTGGCTTCTTAAGAAGTAATCGTTATATAATTACCATAATGTTAATGTAGAAATTTCATCAGGTAAACCTATAACTATAATTTACCTGAACAATGCTATATATTTAAAAAGCGATAAATATATATTTAAAAAGCGATAAATTTTCTTAATAGCATGACGCCATGATATTATTATTTAAATGGAATATTGACCTGTGAACGGGAAATTCGCGTGCAACTTCCCTTATACTCTTCCTACTATTTGCATCAAAGGAATTAAAAATAGCTTCTTTATTTTACGCTGTTCCAATACGTTAAGGAGCATCACAGATAATTTTGTCTTTAGAACCACTGTAGACTAGGACAGAGTCATCATACTCCTATATTTCATTCTTGATAAAAGTTTTTGCTTGTTTTCAAACACCCAGAAAATGCGACACGTCATTTTCATTATCTATGGTTAATTTTCAATTTTAATTGTTCTACAAATTTTTAAAAATTTGTAGATAAAGATCTTTATTTGTTATTTTTTGTTCATTTGTCATTTTCATTTAACAAATTAATGTTATTGGCGATAAATGGAAAACTAAAATCTGAACAAAAATTACTTTTATGATTTTTTTAGAAAAATCAAAATTGAAAATTAACCATAGACAATAAAAATAATGTGTAGCATATTCTGTGGGTTTGAAAGCAAGCTATACTTTTATCAAGAATGCAATTTTCTCTTTGTAACCCCATCCGTGGACGGTGTATTTATAAGTAGGCGTGTCAAGATTTACGAATGAATTATGTGCAAAAATAAAAATAACAACAATTTTTTTAATGGATATAACCCTTTACTTATTATAAAACCATTAACAGTAATAAATATTTTATAATTAATAATTATTAATTATATAATAAAAATAAATATTTTATATACTATATCAATATGACAATATTAGCTTTCTCATGCCATAGTCAAAAGATAAAATTATTTGTTTTGTTTGATAATTATTGTATATATTTTAATCCATTAAAATACTATTGTTCATAATAAAAATTAAGCATTTTCTTACCCCTTTAGGCTGTGATGAAGTGAGAATATCGTCGTGTAAAATGGGGGCCATTTCTTTGAGTATGAGTTTCTGGAGATCATCATAAGATGTCACCCTTGATACTTGCATTGTATAGGGGCTTCCTATAAAAAATAATAATTGTAGAAATCAAACTGGTTTAAGTATACATAAAATATAAAGGTTTGTCAAAAAATATGGTCGAATTTTGTTTCCTTAGAGATACTGGTTTTAGTTATCTAAATTTGGACTAGTAAAAACTAATTAAAATATAAAATAAATAAATAAATATTTATCCATGATATTATGCATATAAGTGATATTTTATATACACATTAACATGTTGTGACTTTGTGCGATTAAGTCACGGTATGAACTTAGAACAACGGATTTCGAGCTTTTTGGTCAGTTAGGTCAAAAGTTAATTGTCACTTATCATCTGTTTTGTCGTCAAAATAAAGTCCTTTTTTGTCAAAAATGTATTTGATTCGTAATGGAAAAAGAATAATATGCAATTTTATAAACTTCTCAAAACACTCGTTTATTAAACATTCGCCCCGCAAACTTCGCTCGAGCGTGACTATGGTTTATAGAACTTTTTACATAATATACTAAAAGTCTAAAAAATATTGTTTTAATTTGATAATTTTTTGTTATACAGGGTGAGTTTTAAGTTAATGCGTTCCTTTTAACAGCGTGTAGAAATCAGATAGACAAATAAATATTTTAAGTAACTTTTTTATCAAAACTCAAAAATAAGATTGTTATAGCCCTTCAAAATTTAATTAAATTTTGAGCCGGTCCTGGCTATTGTTAACAAAAAACATTACCATAAAAATAAACAATGCAAAATGTCATCCATGACAACAAACATAACCATTTAAACCAAAATTACACATTTTTAACAATAATAAATAATGACATTTTTCATTGCTAAATGTCATTTTGATTTAAATGGTTATGTTTGTTGTCATAGATGACATTTTGCATTGTTTATTTTGTTATTTTTTTTTTATTGTTATGTTTTTTGTTAACAATAGCCAGGACCGGCTCAAAATTTAATTAAACTTTGAAGGGCTATAACTCGCTTATTTTTGAGTTTTGATAAAAAAGTTACTTAAATTATTTATTTGTCTATCTGATTTCTACACGCTGTTAAAAGAAATGCGCCAACTTAAAACTCAAATATATATATTTAATTAAGTTTTTAAATTATTCATTTAATGTTAAACAATCCTTAATGAAATTATTATACAAATAATAATTTCCTACACAAGGCTAAAAAGTCAAAAACATTTTAAATCATTAACAGTTTAAAAAATGTTTATTTCTGAACATATTATCCAAGCAACAAAATTAATTGTATTAATTATAAATATCATATATTAAAAAGGAAAAACATATTTTTTAAAATCATACTTATAAAAATGATTAAAAATTTAAGTTTTCGAATTAATATAATATATGTTGTATTTGAATTAATAAAAGAAAATATAAAAAATTATTAAAAAATATATAAAATAATGGAGAACAATACTAAATCAATAACAAAATATTAAAATATTTTTTAAATATTATATTTTAAAATGTTCATAATTTAAATTCTTATATAAAAATGATAAAAGAATTCCAAAATAATTACTAACAATTATTACAAAATGCCAACAATGCAGCAAGTTTCAATAAATTGTATTCCCCTGATTAATTACTTAAATGCTTACAAACACATGATTGCGATGTAAAAAATGCAAAATTTCATATACAAAGTAATTTATTATACAAACTATTATAATTAGAGAAATTTATAATTGCAGGAAACAATTTTCCATATCAACATTAATGCTATATAAATTGTACACGATTGAAGTCGTTAAATTACTATTAAGTTTTTTTGAGTATTTTAGACGATTAAAAATAGTTATCATTAAATTTTTGCCTGTAAACTCCCATTAGGTTATTTGAAACAATGTTGATGAATTAAATTAAACGATTTCAAAAAACAATTTAGGATAAGTTAACGTTGGGTTTTCAGAAAATTTCTTATTGGATTAGATTCACGATAATGAAAATTTAAAAAAAGTATTTATAAACAAAGCTTATTTGTATTTTATTAGGCCGCGTCAATTAACAAGTGGAATGATTATCATCGATGATAAGTAAAAAAGTAAAAAAAAGTTATTTTTGAAGTTAATTTTTTTTTATAAATTTAGTCACTTTTTTTTTGCTTTCAGTTTTTCAAAATTAATTTGGAAAGAAGCGGATATTCGACCCACTCTCGTGTACAGGTTTGACATTTTTTCTTACCGAATCTTTGGCAATCTCCATCAGTCTTGACCACGTTAATCCAACATAACAGGACGTACGCGCTGGTAGCATCTTCGTCGATATCTTTTAGTTGCGCCACTTCCACGCAGTAGATCGGGTCGATTTCCGTGATGATGCCGATGGACTGCGCATCGGTGAAGGTGCGCAGAAAACCGCTCTCGCCGATCTCGGTGATCAGCATGTTTGCGTGCTCTATCGAAGTGTCCGATTCCAGGGCATCGCGCAGTTCCGATACCGTGGCGCCAGATGGCAGCGTCAGGCCGATTTGCACTTGTCTCGGTTGTTGGGAAGTGTATAAAACCTAAAAAATATTTGTTTTATTTTTTATGAAGAGGAATGAAAGTTTTAATGATTAGTTAATCATATACAGGGTGTTATGTAATTAATGTTATAATATATATATTATATTAAAATAGGTTGTTCCTTAGGGTCCATAAAGAAGCACCTGAAACTTATTTTTTCTAAATTCCAAAGTCTAAAAATAATTTATAATAACCTTTATCCTACCAAAAAGTACGCCACTGATCGACTAGGAACTTTAGGTTAATCTGGTGGATTTATTATGTTATGGTTGGTAACAACAGTTTTTCCAAAAAGTTGACAAACATTGTTTAAATTTAACTTAATTACAAAAATGACAAAATTAACAATGCAAATTGTCAATTTGGCGTTTTTATTAATTGTTGGTTATTTCATTTTTGTACTGAAGGTAAATTCAAACAAAATCTGACAACTTTTATGACAGAATCTAGTGCATTTCTTTTAAATTTTAGGTTATGTTTTCAAATTGTAAATATCTTAACTAAGGGAAGTGCTTTTGGATTTATTTACACAAATTAAATGTTTAAAGTTTAACCTGTGAACTGGTCCCAATTTCATCTGAGTAAACAGAGAAAAAAACTGATGAAAAAATTATTAATTATTAATTAAAAAATTGTGGTTATGGATTTCATTTTCTAATCATTGCTTAAGCTAATAGCTGGATCAGTAAATAAATACAGAAGGGTATTAGAGCTTTAAGGGCATAAAACTTTTGTATT